TGGCTGTTCCACAAGACATTAGAAAAAAAAACAACACATGGACATCCTTTCTGCAGCAAGAAATTGTTTCCTTCTGAAAACTATAAAGGACTTAAAAACTGCCACAAATAAAACAAATAATGAATGAAACACAATTGGAAATACATGCACTACGTTAAAAACTGATAATAATAATGACTTTTTGGTCAAATATAAGTAAGAATTCTTGTCTTAGTGCAGGCTCAACTCTGGGATTTCAGTGTAAAAAAGCTGGTTCAATTCACTATGTTTGACATGCATCAAAAGAACAAAATGCTTTTGTAGTCTAATAGAGTTCATAAGGCCTTATCTATCCCAGAAAACCAAATAAAGTCACAAGGATTTTTGCTCACTGTTTATTCTGAATGAGATAATATCAGTATATCATACTCTCGATATTGCATTTAATTGTGTCTGAAGGTCCCTAGCTATACCTCCGTACAGGAGATGTTTCAAGGACCGTTTTAAATCCCTGAAAAATTTACATTTCATTTAGAGGACTTTTAGGACAGAAAATGTAAGCACTTGTAATTTTTATACTCAAGTCTGCTTTGCTTTACTCTTTTCCCTATTTTGTGCAAAAAATGCATTTAAAGCTGCAGGAAATACTTCTGAAAGAAGAAGGTAGAAATGATTTCCTTAAAAAAAAACAGGTTATTAAAATCGGTCCTTTCGAAAGGCCAAAATTGTTAAATTGCTAAGTGAAACTAAAAGGTAAAACATGTTTGTTTGTTTTTTTAACTCAATCTTCCTTCTTGGGATGTGGCTGTTATCGGTCATTTAAGGTGAACTAGAGTAGTTTTTGACAAAAACACATAAATCTAGAGTTTGAGAATCATTTGACTTAGAAAACCAGCGTTGCAGTATTGCATTGGAGTAGAAATCAAAGTTCAATTACTTGCTGCGTGCTCACCTGCTGAGCATAACCTCGAAACATGGGGTTTACCAGTTTGATGCCGTGGGACAAGCTGGTCGGGACAACATAACTGGGCCTGAAAGTGGAAAAGGCATGTGAGAAATATTTAAGTAAACAAAAGCGAATAAGCTTAGAAAGTTGGACGTGGCTTTGTACCGTTTCTTGTGCCAGAGCTCTGAGATGAGTTTCTGGTAGCTCTTACACAGAGCCGGTTTCTTGTCGGTCCGGACCAAGCCGCTGCAGTCCAGGAAAAACTGGGTGAGCGGAGGGCTGGAGAACAAAAAGTATGCAGTGTTAAATTCAGGAGGACCGCTTTAGCTCAAAAAATACAAAACAAGATTCTAAAGCGAGGCTCATCCCTGATGATTGGGCCAATTGGAGGTGAACCCACCAGTTGGACAAGGCCTGCAGGGCAGCATTCATGTAGCAGGAGTTTCCAATATTCTTCATTCCTGTCAAGCCTAGAGGCAACAAGGGCAAGACCCATGAACTTCTTTAACTTAGCTATGAACACACACACACACACACACACGCACGCACACACAAACGTTTGTTTTGTTTTTTTTCCTTCAATATTTACTTTTGGAAGTTTAGTTGGAAATTAGTAAGATTTGAATGAATTGTTGATGCCAAGACAATTTTTTGCACCTCTTGGCTTCAGCTCATCCTCCTCTGATTCTGAGCCATCTTCTTCCGCAACAGCAATCGGTACTGCTTTCAGAGGGTGACCTGCTGACTGGACAGCAGCTTCCTGTGGAAAAAAGAAATGCATGAGTTTCTTTATGCATCGAGCAGACTGGAGGTAACAAAGTAATTCGGTATCTTGGCCACAATTTGCACCTGCTCTGCAGCTTTGCAGTGGTGGGACGCAACCGGAACAGGGACCAGCGCCGGCCTCTGATCCAAAAACACCTCCCGCTCGCACACGTAACACCAGATCCTGAAGGTTGTTAGGTTCACTGTCAGGTTGTGCTTTTTAGCCTAAAGAAAAACACCAGAAACAAAATGCTTCAGTGGCTTGTGAAACAATTTAACATTTCACATTTGTACACAATACAAAAACAAATTCTGTATGTTTTTTTTTTTGTTCTGGATTACATGGATTAGACCAATCATCATCAGATGTTTTTACCTGTGCATGCAGAGTGCTGTGATCGGCGTAGGACTCTCCACAACCAACATACGAACAGTCACTCTAAAAAAACAAAAACACATTCTGAATGTTGTACTGCCACACAAAGTACAAAATTACTTATACCTTTCAGCTTCTATGCCAGAAAAAGCAGCACTTTTCAATTACATTAATGCATCACACCATCATTATTTATTTAGCAAACACCTGCCTTTCTAATGCAAGATAATGTACAGTAAGTGCAACACCGGCTGCTGCTGGAGCACACATGTGTTACGCAAGACTCACAGACACAATTTCATAAAATTACCTGCAGACAGGCCCATAAGTTGGGACCTCCAGCTCCACATGACTGGCAAGTTCCCTACAAAAAACAGCAACAGAGTGGGTTCCAATCAACTAAATGCAACAACAAAATATTGCAGAGCTTATTATACAAGAACGTTAAGAAGAGGTGTGTGTTAGTTATGACACAATGATTCACACACAGCCAATGACTTGCACCAATAAATTCATTTACACCCACCTTGGATTTCTGGAGAAGGTCCTCTTTGGTGACCTCTCCTATTGAGTCCAGGTGAGGACAAACGTCTGGCTCTGCCATTGTACTCGCTGTCTCCACTAGGACGTATCCTAACAGATACGTCTGTATAAGAAAAAAAAACAAAAAACATATTTCCTAAGAGGCTGTTGCAACTCAGCTAGCTGGGAGCACAGACATCACACAAACCCTGCCTCTTGACAGCACAAACATATGTGATGTAAATATATATTTAAAAAATACATTCTAAGTTGAAACCTAAACGTATGTGCAGAGGCTGACAGCTCAGCAAAGAGACAGGCCCGGGTGTTTACTCACGAAAGAAGAGAAAGAGCTCCTTTCTCCAGCGATGACAGCTTTTATTAACGCCTCATAATAACAGAATAGCAGCAGCTGCCGCTGTCAAGATGGTAATATCTCATGTCCGCACACACAAAAAAGCCTCGCTTTGAGTGTAGGCAGCTGACGGTGTGCTAGCTAGAAGAGGAGCTGACCGAGCGACGCTGTACCCTGGCCCACCATCCTCCAACTGCCCCCCCTCCCTCACCATCCGCAGAGCCGAGGAACCGCACGCATGGCACGGCATGACGCAAGCAGCAGGAGCGTCGGGGTAGAGCGGGTAAGCCTGACCACTTCAACTCCAAATAATTAATTATTAAAATTATTATTATTTACAAGACAAAAGAAAAGAAAACGGCACATAAACAGATACATAAAATGCACGTTCTTTTAGTTCTTCGTAACTTATTTACGGAAGTTAAGTGATTTTGTACGTCGCTTAAATGGGTCCTGCTTGTGCATTGACTGACATACATTAAGGTCCTCCTGACCTGAATAATGATAACTCTCTCCCATGGCCAAAAGATTTTCTGATAAGTAAAATTTAAACTTAACTATTAAAGGATGTTATTATGTTAAATTGACGTTTTTGAGCGTTAATGGTGTCAAAATATTATTTTAATTGAAAAAAAAAACATACCTGGGAGTTATTGTGATTCTTTCATGCATATTTGAGGAATCCTTGAATCTCCCATGGCAGCTGCTGAACTCATCATATGTACTACTTCTCAGTCCAATACTCCTAAGAACGATATAATATAATGAGTATAATGAGAAGCATTGTTGTGATGACATTAGGCAGTGTCAGAAAGAATAGTAGGTGTTTCTTAAAGAGACACAGCCCAATTTCAAGGCATTAAATTGCAAAACCTAAGGTTTTTAAGTCAACATTTAGGAAGACACTTCTCCATTCAGCCTTTAACAACATTCGTAGGATTTTTGCATTAAGAAGTAGCTATGACGAGCTCAGTACTTGGAGGACACTGCAGCTCTGAGAAGGTGCTGCGTAGAAAAGGCAGCGCTTGGTGAGAGCAAGTGTTTATGCACCCCAAATGTCTGCCACAGGAGACTAAATGATTTCTCAGAGATGCATGAAAGAATCACAGCAACACTCTATGTTTTGGGTGAGGGAAAAAAATTATGATGTGAGAAAAAAACAAAAAAAAAAAAAAAAAAAAAAAGTCGATTTTACATAATGACCTCCTGCCACCCTTAAAGCTGCAGTGTGTTTTTTTTTTAACTTATTTGTTAAAAAATTATGATCGTATCATGACAGTAAGATAGATAATCTGCGGGGAAAAAAATAGATTCTCTGCCTTATCCTATTGCTCACAGAACCAACTGCAGAAACGACTCAGTCAGAACCAACCAATCAGAACCAGAAGGAGGGTTTTAGCGCTGTCAATCAGGCATGTGCAGATCCCCTCACTCCACAGCTGGTTCACCGTAACACAGTCTGCCAAAAACACTATGGCTAGTTAGCATGGCCAATCAATGAAGGTGGATAAATGTAATAGTGAATTGGTGACAGTTTTAAGAAATATAGAAAAAACATATTTTTGAAAAGGTAACATACTCTAGGTGTTTTACATATTATCAGGGTTGCCAGCAATTATGAAGGATGCTTTGTTATTAAGACTTGATATAATAAATAAATTAGTATAATATTAGACACATCAAATACAAATGCTTCTAGGACTAATATTTTGAAAGGAACTATATGCTTAGCTTACACATTTTGTTGGATGTTCGAACTCCAAACGAATAACAAATCAAAATCCTTGTTTTCGTCTAACTTTCCTTTGTTTTCTTCTAATGAGAAGATCTGACAAGAGTAGTTTAAGAAACCAAGAGTATGGCTACTGAGGATGCGAAATAGGTGAGCGACTGACAACCAAAATATTAAGCTCGCTCTAAATTTGTAAATAAAAACATATTTAAATAAAGAAAGCCTATTTTAACACTGATAACTGATTCTGGGTCTGTTTCCCATTAGTTCAATCAATAGTCTTCAGCCAATCACAAGAGAAGAAACTGACTCCAAATCAGCACCACTCAAACCCGCTCCTACGCACACGTAGTCGCGTTGGAAATCTCGCGGTATTTTACCCTACCCACAACCTCCGGTCTTCCTTTCTGCCTGAACCGACATGGTAGGTACATGTTTGCCTCTTCAGCCAGAATACTTATGTTGCTGTATCTGCTTGCATCCTTGTCTTTATGATTCTTATTATATTTCAAAATATCATTTTAAAGTCATTTAAGCCTTGTTGTTAATATAGTGAGGATATTGTGGGTTTGTATGCTGCAATTTGTGATTAAAACCCGGTTGAAGTTACAAGTGTAGCCGGTATGAGCAGTGCTGTATTGGCCAAATAGAAACTAGTGCAAAACGGGAACGGGGGTTTCGGTATTTTCATTTTATTTTAATATACGAGTTGTTACTTAAAACTAGTAAAAGATCAGATGAACTTGTGTATTGTCCAAGTTTACAGTCTCCGGTTACGTTAAGCTAATAGCGTTGGCTAATGGGGCCTTAGCGTCGACCTAGCAGTTGCTAGCAGTGCATGATGGGCCACAGTGCTAGTGTAATGTAGGTTTGCCGGATACATTCTTTAACTAAAGTTTAACATATTTAAGGAATTTGTCAAATTCCTTACATTTTAAACTAGCAAGGTTAGTTTCCCATGAATCATTTAATGAATGTATTTCATGCAGTGATGCCGTTTGGCAATGTAGTTAGCTCCTTATTCCTAAATGAATTTGAGCGATGAGCTAATTTCATCCATTTTTTAAATTGCCTTTGAAACACTACGTGTACTACAGTGTTCAAAATATAATTGAACACTATGTATTATAGTCCTCTGAATCAGCAGTGTCTTGTCCTGGGAAGGATTTCCCTATTCCAACACACTTGAATCCACAAGTTTAGACTCTGTTGTCAGGCTCTACAGTGTAGTTGATAGCCAGATTTGATTCAGGTGTGCTGAATCAAATTAGCACACCTGAGGCTTTTTTTTCTTGTAATTCATTTTAAGATATGGTTTGAAACTTCTAAACTTGATACTTTAAGTTTATCACTAATATTTTTATTTTTTTCCTGTCTTGCCAGCCTAAGGGAAAGAAGGCTAAGGGGAAGAAGGTGGCACCTGCCCCTTCTGTGGCCAAAAAACATGAGCCCAAGAAAGTAGTCAACCCCCTCTTTGAAAAGAGGCCAAAGAACTTTGGCATCGGTGAGTATTCAGCTTTTTTGTAGAAGTTTTTTTCCATTGGGGCTAATAGATACACTTATGGTGCAGATGATGTAAAAGAATATTTGCTATCTTAACATCCGTGATGACAATCTCCCACCAAGATCGCTGATGCACGCTCGATGTAACGGGTGACGAAGCAGATAATGCTCTGAACTGTTGGAAGTAAAACTTTTTGTTTGCTTGTCCACAGGCCAGGACATCCAGCCAAAGCGTGACCTTACACGCTTTGTGAAATGGCCTCGTTATGTTCGCCTGCAGAGGCAACGCTCCATTCTGTACAAGCGTCTGAAGGTTCCCCCTGCAATCAACCAGTTCACCCAGGCTCTGGACCGCCAGACGGGTAAGATTATAAACATTTGGATTTGTACTTCGTCTAAACTTGGAGCTCAAAGAAACCATACTGTAGAGATGCATTGAGTTTTTCTTGTCTGTTTACATTTTCAACTTTCTTGTAAAAACGGGTCAGAAAGTGAATATTTGTAAAATATTGCATTGTATAAACCTTGTCAATAGATGAATTCTTTACTGTTTCTTTGCAAATGATGTGAAATATTTGCTATCTGACTGTGATGACATTTCCACCAAGATCACTGATGCATTCAGCTGAAACTCTTTCTAATTTGTGACGTTTTTGCCTTTATTTATTTTTATTCTTTTAACTGAATGTATTGTTCCCTGCTCCAGCCACCCAGCTGTTTAAGCTGGCCCACAAGTACAGACCAGAGACCAAGCAGGAGAAGAAGAAGAGGCTGTTGGCCCGTGCTGAGCAGAAGGCAGCCGGGAAGGGAGACACCCCCACCAAGAGGCCTCCTGTCCTCCGTGCAGGTGAGGTGTACAAGAGTTATGCAAACAAACGTCTACAAAATAATGCTAAATGTTAAACTAGACAATAAGATAATCCTTTGAAAATATTGGGCATTTCAAGATATTCAGCTTTATCCAACTTGGCCATGATGCAGTGATGACTTGAATTTCTTCACCTGAAATCTGTCTTGATGCTTTTTGAGCTTTTTAACCCTGAGCATTGGCCACAGATTTTTTTTTCTTTTTGTGTGCTGGCATATCAGAAGTTACATTTTTTTCTGTTTTATCTCCAGGTGTGAATACCGTTACCTCTCTGGTGGAGAACAAGAAGGCTCAGCTGGTCGTCATCGCTCATGATGTGGATCCAATTGAGGTAAGACTTGGAGAAAATTTGGGTTAACAATGAAGGTGATCACTGGCAATGATGTTTGAATTTCTTCACCTGAATCCTTTATGTGGATCAAAACTTACGAGCTTTTTAACCCTGAGCAGTGACCTTTTAAAGAGTTAATCTCGATTACACACCAACTTGAACTATGTGCATTTTTAACGGCTTTTACATGTGTCCTGGTTTTCCAGCTTGTGGTCTTCCTTCCTGCTCTCTGCCGCAAGATGGGTGTCCCATACTGCATTGTGAAGGGCAAGGCCAGACTGGGAAGACTGGTGCACAGGAAAACGTGTACTTCATTTGCATTCACACAGGTTAACCCGTAAGTGTCATCATAAAGTAAATTATTTCCAGGTTTTTATTTGAGAGTTTAGGTTGATTTTTAATGTCACTTCTCATGAAAACAGCTCAAACTGTTTTTCTAATTTACATTCTAGATGAATGATTCATTAAGTTTATTTTGTACTAAAATGATTAACAAGGTTGTATGTACTGGTGTGGTGCTTTTTGCTCTAAAGCCATTCAGTATTGAGTCATGTTTCTCTCTTTCTCAGTGAGGATAAAGGTGCCCTGGCTAAGCTTGTGGAAGCCATCAAGACCAACTACAATGACAGATATGAGGAGGTAAGCTGTAACTTCTGGTCTTTGTTTTATAAATATGCACCTAAGAGAGAGCTAATTTTAAATGACTTGAATTGTTTTTACAGATCCGTCGTCACTGGGGAGGTAATATCCTGGGCCCCAAATCCACAGCCCGCTTCACTAAGCTGGAGAAGGCTAAGGCCAAGGAACTGGCAACCAAGCTTGGTTAAAATGTTTGGAATAAAAATGTATGTTCTAATACAAGTGACTTTGTGTTTATTAAGTCTGAATGTGGCACCTTTTCAATCGTTGCTGTTAAAGAATGAAAATATGCACCAAGGTTTAACCAAATATTTTCTACATGTTCAAAGAAGCATCTAAAAGATTGTGAAAGTTGATTTGATCAGGAATTTTGAAGTAAGCTTATAAATATTAAATGAGCAGTTTGGATCCTAAATGATGCATCTTCTGGTGTAACAAAGCCACTGAAAAGTGATTGAGTTAACTCAATGGAGAGAAAAGTTAGTGAATTATAGTTCTTAAAGCAATTTTGTTTTAAAACATTCCTATAGAAGCCTTGCAATTCCTGGTTTGGTCAAGTCGATATGGTTTGTGGTGGTATAAAGCAAGATTTTGCAATGTTCAACAATCCTACATGTTCAGATTTTCGATACAAGTTTAAGATTTAAAATATGCACTGTGTATTTTGGGTGCCAGTTGCTGAGCAATACAGGAGATATTTAAAAGAGTAAGTTGTGGACTGGCAAAAAAAAAAAAAAACTCCAGGAACTGCATTATTTTTTTTAGTAGTAAAAATTCATCAATTTTCTACGAGCTCATTCCTTTTGAAGATGTGCATATAATCCTAAAATGTCCACCATGGAAGTTACCTGGACATGCAGAAACTATACTTTTATACCAGCCCTTTGAATCTCTAGCATAATTGTTTTGCTAGATAAGATTTCAACTTGGAAACAAAAAGTACTCATAAGATATTTATTTGTATTCTTGGCTACATGGACAATTATGCATTGATGGTCAACATCCTCGAGAATTGCTGTGTAACATAATTTTCAGCGATACATGATTACAATTTAATCTTGATGAACTTTGCATACCACATATAGGAAGTAGCTGCACACAAACCATACCTGGAAAAGAAAAGGGGATATGCAATAAGTCATTAATAACTAGTTCAAGATATCAGATCTAAGTGAAGAGGCTCTGGCATACCAAGTTATGATGTATTGCATGTGTTCATTTCTCAGTGTGACCCGGGTCTGTCCTCCGACTGGTCCCCCTGGAATAGTGCTTTCTGTGTCACACAAACCCCTTTGAATTAGTAAATGTGTTGCTAATGTGTGAGGGGTGAACTCTGCTCTCACTACAGCTTAGGTTCTTACTGAAGTCAGCGTCGATCAAGATGGGAGCAGCCCCAGTGATGCGAGACATGGCCTCCAGGTCACGGTAATGCCAGCGATTTTTCTCTTCGTCGTTGTTTGGTACAAAAGGTTTGCGCGTTTCTGTCAGCCTGACGACCCCCACCACCTCCACCTCATCTTCCACCTACAGGAAATGAGCAAAACTGGGCTAAAGTTTCTTATACAAAAGATTTAATTTTGTGATTAAAACCTCATCACAGGGAAGAGTTAAGTTGTATAAACCCTGCTGGCCTTTGATTAGTAACCCAATTTAAAACACTAACCTGCCCCTTCATTCTGGTCTCCGGTCGTATTTTCTGCTTTGGTACGTATCCTCTGTTGACCAGGATTTTGATGCTGCAGTGGCGTGAACAGCATACAACATCAGTTAGATCCTGTATCATGTAGTTATACCTTATTAGTTTGCTGTTATTTTTACCCAAGGTCAGAGCAATGAAAGGGGGTGATGACGTTGGCTCCAATCTCTCCACTCGAGGACAGGCTTCCTGCCTCCCTGGCCTCTTTCTCCGGGTCGACAGGCGAGCGCGGCATGATGTACAGCTCCTGAGAGTGATCATAGTGCCCGCGAACTTTCACCCTTCTGTACTCCAGCTTGTTCACTTCAAGAGGACTAAGATACAGAGATTGAAATGACAAGAATACCTTCACAACGATGAATACAATTCATGCAGAAGAGTACTTTGTTAGCATCCCAAGAAAGAAGTTGTATTTTGGCATGGTGGTAGTTTTTTGGTGTGTATTGGTGCTTTTTTTTTCTTCATTAAATCAGTTTAATCCTTAGTGTTTGCAAAGAAAGTGAGTTCAGTTACTAACTCAGGAGGAAGAGGAATAGGCTCCGCTGTGGTGAGGCATCTCAGTTCATTGATTAAACCCATCTTCCACTGACGCCTTTTCACCTTTAGAAAAAGAAAGCAATCTGAGTCAACACAAAATTCACCTTAATCTCACTAACAAAGCAAAGCAAAAGGAATACATCCTTCATTTTAGGATCAAGTGGTACCTGCCATGTACCCAAGCCAAAGGTGGCTGCAGGGATGAGCAGCAGGAACCACTTCAGGAAGGCGTCCTCACTTTTCTCTGCATCGGCTGCAGTAGAACTGCACTTTCGACCAAAGATAACAAACCTGCCTGGACATTTACAGCAACACAGACACTTTTCCATTAAACTGAAACGCTTCAACAGAACTGATAAAAAAAACTAGATGTATAACCAGCTGAATAAATTGGTAAGAATTAAATGCGTAGTTTGATAAATACAGATAAGATAGCTGTTTGAATACATTAAAATAAATAGGACTATAATAATTTAAATTAATAAACAGGTAAATTAAAAGTTTAAAAAGTAAATATTTGATGAAATACTATGAATAAACACATGCATAACTTAATTAAAAGTCGCTCAATTTTCAGTACATTATGCGAGCTTTCACTGTAGGAGTGTGAGGTTCCATTTGTGTCAAAAACATCTAATCATATGACTTCTACTTATTTTTGACACAAATGGAACCCCACATACGAGTAGACTAGAGACAGTAACTACATCACCATCTGCGCGTTTGAAGAGTGCTGGAAGCAAGAAAGTCCTCTTGATTTTAGTGACAGGAGTCTGCAAGGATGCAAACCCAGACTGAACTCACTTTTCTACAGGTAAGCATGACATTCACAGTTTCACTGGAGAATAAAATTATGAATATGACATAGAAACTTGCCTGCTTTCTTAATGTCGGAAGAAGCCTGTTGGATAAAGCCAGCAGGGATTTCAGAGAAGCCATGTTGGGCCTAAACATTGACGAAAACAAGTGTTTTTACAGCCGAAGAAAACAAGCCGACGCTAACTACATAACTGACTTTATTTCTTCCTGTTTAGGACACGTAGGGGGATGATTTTTGGTGTTACTCCTTCCGGGTTCAACATCACTTCGTCCCGTTTGTTTTTAATCCACGTGTGTGAAGAAATGTGCTGATAGTTTTAATCCAGATATTTATTTCTGACTGTAATCAGCTGATTCAGTACGGAACCTCGGTTTAGGTGAAGACATGGACCTCGCCGCCAAGGACTCTTACTTGCAAGTACTTGCAAGTAAAGTCATTTCTCAGAGAGAGGAGCCAACGAAGAGGGCGTTTGGTAATATAGCCCTATAAACTTATTAAGACTTGACTATATATACACACATTTTTAAATTGCACTACCTACTGCTATGACTTGCGCATAATTGCCTCAAAAAGCTCGTTAAGTACGAAGCGTGTCATTAATTTTGGATGCATTACCATGGTTTACCACAAGTGGCGCTGTGTAGAAGTTATTTAGCTCTGTGAAACAAAATTTAAAATATCAAGATTATATGCTTTAATCTGTTTTTACTTGTAATCCATTTGTCTGCACTAAACTGTTAAAACATACTGTAACCATAGATTATTCACATTTTCTGAAGAACATGGGCAGACAAATAATGAAGTAATAGACATTGAGGTTTGTGGTTAGAATGTGGCAAAATATGTAAAAAGTCAAACACATTTCTCCAATCACTTTAAGCTTATTTGGCCATATTGTGGTAGGCCTGTGACTTATAATCAGCCAAAAGAAACTCTGCTTTGCGTTTTAGAAATTTTCTGCATTCTGTAAACATGAAATGTTTTGTATTCCAGTTAAAGTAGGAGATCCTCATTATTTGTTATCTCTGTTTTAGTTCACTTCAAAGGTAAAAGTGACACCGATCCTCCAAGCAAGAAGAAAAAAAAACCAAAGAAGAAGAATCTGAAAGAGAACGGCAATGATAAGACTCCCAAACCCCAACAGAAGCCTAATCCTTCTCCAGCAGCTCCGAAAAGCCCTGGGAAGACAAAATCAACTACTCAAAGTGTGAATGGAAGCACGTTGCACACACCTAAAGGTGCTGGGGACAGAAGGTTTTATGAGAGATTCAATAACAATTTCAGTAATGTCCTCACTTAATCTCATTTTGATGTGCAGAAACAAGCTTCTCCACTGTGGATGTATTGCGCAAAAGACTCCATGAGAAGATTGAAGAGTCCAGAGGGCAGGTATGTAGACCTGAATGCAGCCTTCAGTCTAAGCCAACCAGTGTGGTAGATATCAAATATGAAGTTTGTTCATATGAAAAGTAAAGCACACAGATGAATATTAAATAACATAATGAGAGACCTTTATATGCTTCTATTTTCTGTCTTAAAAATATGTACAAAAACATTTTCTTGATTTTCCTCATTGTTGGAGTAATAACAGGCCTGTTCCTTTAAACAGGGAGCTCCACAGGATGCATTATCAGAAGCCGTTAAGGCAAAGCGCGCAAAGCGAAAGATGGAACGGGAGCGCAAGAAGAGGAAGAGGAAAGAGTTTCTGTTGAAGAAGCTTGCAGAACAAAGCGGTCAGGAACAGCCCGTGGAGATAAAAGAAGAACCGATCGCTCCTGCCACGGAAAAAAGGGTTACGTCGGCTATTGTCTTTAACAAAGTAGAGACGGTGGACGAGGGCTATGAAACCAAATTCCAGGCAAAAATTAAGAAGAAGAAAAGCGAAAAAGGTAAAATAACGCCACTGACCGGGAGGAACTACAAGCAGCTTCTGAGCCGAGTGGAGGCTCGCAAAGAGAAGCTGGAGCGGCTGAGGGAGAAAGACGAGGCGAAGGCCTCCGAGTTGGAAAACAAGATCAAATGGACCAACATGCTCTACAAGGCCGAGGGCATCAAGATCAAGGATGACGAAGACCAACTGCGCGCCTCCTTGAAGAGGAAGGAGAAGAGGCGTGCGCAGAGGAAGAAGAAGTGGACTAATCGAAGCGAGACCGTGATTGAGAAGATGCAGCAAAGACAGGACAAGAGGAGGAAGAACCTCCAGAAACAAAAGCAGGCTAAGATGGAGAAGAAGAAGAACAAAGCGAGGAAGAAGGGCAGAGTGCTGCCCGAGGACTTGAAGAAAGCAGCAGTTTAGAGGAAGAGAAGTTCAGGAATGGTATACAGTGTGCTCCGTAATATAATTACATTTTTGCATATGCTGAATATGAGTGAAATCTTGGCTGTGAAATGTGTTTATTTTAGCAAAAGTAAAGGAGCTATTGTCTAGCTAAAGCCTCTTTGCTTTTATTTTGTCATACTACATATAATATGTGTATAATATTTCACATTTACCTAAAAGTTTTGTTTGTAGGTTTCAAAAATAAAACCTTAACAAATTTGCCTTGTACATAGTTGGAGCTTGATTGACTTCTTTTCTATACCATTTCATTGTTGGTGATAAATATTAAGTTTCCACTTGAATCAAATGTGCACAAGTCTGGAAGCGGCAGTGAATCTCAAAAGCGTAAACATCCCTATTAAATAAGTGAGAATTTGAGAAATTATTTTCAAAATAGCCACAAAATTACCACAAGTAAATAACTTGATGTGGCATTTATTTAAATGTTTTCTTAATTCCTTTGTTTGTGTTTTTTTTTTTTTTTTTTTTTTTTTTTTTTTTTGGGCCTCTTGTAAAAACATCTCCCATTTTTTGCTTGTAAAATTTTTTTTTTATTTT